CCGGAGGAGCCCGCCCTCTGTGGCTCCGTCACCCGGAGGAGCCCGCCCTCTGTGGCTCCCTTACCCGGAGGAGCCCGCCTCAGGGGAGCGGCAGGTGGGGAGGGCTCTGCTTCTGGGGAAGGCAGTGGAGGAGACCCTGCCCTCCACCATGCCACTGCTGTGTGTGGAGCCCGTGGGCCATGACTACAGATGCCACCGGCCTTTCAGCTCTGACATTAGAGGCAACCGACCTGCTGGTGGGAGGGGCTGAGCCTCAGGAGGCCCCGCCAGCGCCCTGCACCTGCTTTTCCCCAGCAAAGGGATGGTGACGCTGAGGCCCACGGGCAGAATGGAGCCAGGCCTCCCAGGCCCTGAGTGTCTCCCTGGGTAGCCCAGCGAACCTGCCTGGAAGAGGGCTGTGGGCGCCCGGAGCCCCACAGACAGAGGCCCTGGGAGCCTGGCCGGCAGGGGCGGGGCCCGGGCCCTGGTGCTGCAACCCCACCCGCCTGCAATCCTGCCCTTTTTCCTGACAGAAAGGGAAGAGGGTAAAAGTGGACCGAAACCAAAACATTCCCCGAGTCAATCTGTACAGTAAGCGAACCCAAAGCAGCCCCTCCTGCTCGGACTGTTTCCGGGAGGCGGTGCCAATGTGATTCCAGGGCCGCGGCCCCAGGTGCTCCCTCGCCAGCCCTGTTCACCACACCTGGCCATTGTCTTTGTCCAGGAGCAAACACGGGAAATCAGGGACCACTCAGCCCAGCGAGAGCCCTCGCCTGCCCGAGGGGCCTTCCCTGGGAACAGAGGCTGCAGGGCCTCCCATCAGTGCCCGGCCTGCTCCCCGCCTCACCCAACATCGGGGCGAGTTGAAGTGATGAATGCTGCTGGGATTTGGGGAGTACTCACTCGGAAGGGAGCACCCATTCGGAAGGGGGCCCAGGAGCATCTTGGGAGTGAAGGCTGGGAGTGAGGCGGGCGGGGCCTCAGGGAGCCTCACCTGTACGCAGGAGGGGCCTGCAGGCCCCCTCAGCACTGGGCCGGCCGGGAGTCTTGGCGAGCTTGTTGGCTGTCACCCGGTAGAGCACCCCTCCGATACAGCGGTAGCCTCTGTCCCGCCAGCCAGGGGAGCCGAGCTTGACTCTTCCATGGGCAGGGCGAAGGCGATTTAGCACCAGGGACCTGGACAGGGAGAGCCGCCGAGCCCGCCAGGAAGGCAGGGAAAGGGGGAAGGGGGATGCGCTGAAAGGCGACACCGGGGTCTTCTTGATGATGGGGTACCGGGTCTTGATCACTCTGCTGGTGGCCGGGGCCAGCAGGGCGTTCAGGTTGGAGGCTTCCTTGATGGGGAGGTGGGCGTGGCCAAGAGGCAGGCAGCACAGCCGGTGCCGGGTGACCTGCATCAGGCCCTTGGGGGGGGTCTTCTTCTGGACAGGGCCGCTCCTCCCCCGCAGGGCCTGCCTCCTGCGCAGGCTGAACTGGCTCTTGGCGGTGGCAGTTGGCGGGGGGCTGCTCTTCTTGTCCCCAGGAAGGTTGGCGCTCCCCCGCCTCTTGACGATCTTGGTGCGGCTCTTCACTTTGTAAGCCCAGAGCCCTGGGGTCTCACTGAAGAGGGGCTTCAAGCCACTGGGTCCCACTGCTGGCTTGTCCCCCGGGGGGGACCTAGAAGGGACTGGAGAGAGCTGGAAGGCATGGTCCTTGCTGCCAGCCTCCGACTGCCAGCGGAAGGAGGAGCAGGAGGAGGCCGAGGGGCTGGAGGCCTTCCATTGGTACTGGCTGCGGAGAGCCCCCGCGGGGCACACGGCCGTCTTCTTGGGTTTGGTCTCCGGCTCGGCTCTGGGCGGCAGCTTCTCGGCTCGCTCCGCTGTACACACATTCTCCGCAGCTGCTCTATCGGCTCTCCTGTCCCCAAGGAGCTGTGCAGCACAGCCGGCCACAGGGTGCGCGCTCACCTTCACGGTCAGGGCCACGGAAATGGCGCTCTCACTGACCGTCCGCCGGGACTCCGAGAGGCTGTCGCTCAAGCTGCTCACAGACTTCACCACCCGGGGCTTGCCGGCCTCCTCCTGGAAGACCAGCTGGCAGTCCTCTGTGCTGTCGGCCCCCTCGGCCCTTCCTGGCTTTGAGGGCGGGCGCTGCCGGCCAGGGGGCTCGCCCTCCCCTCCCCGAGGCCTGCGGTCGCTCCAAGGAGGGTCCTCATATTCTTTCGAGGAGCCCCGGGGGGCACCTGCAGCACCAGCCACGCTGGGCTGGGACGGGGGTTTGATCGTGATGACCATGCTCTGGTCAGCACTGAGCTGG